GGGGGGGACGGACGACCAGAGCAAATCTAGTGTCCTGAAATGATGACAGAATGTTTATTCTCTGCTGGGCTCCTCTGAAAAGTCCATGGAAATTCCTCAGTAGGAAGGGAGGGAAGGGCAGAGCATCATGTTTACAAAACTTTCAGGCAGGTTGAGATAAGATGGCCTGTCAAGGCCAGCCAGGGAGCCGAATTCAGATAAACACGATTATTTTGGGGACAGGCAGAACTTTAATGTCATCTACCTTGAGTCTGTGTCAGTCCACTCAGATTCGAAACGTCCAAATTAAATGACCATACCAATGGAACGTGCCTGAGAATAATCCCCGAGATCTGATCCATTCTGCCAGGAGTCTGGGTGCTCGAGGCACGAACCAAGCTATCATATAAGGCAGGCAGCCTGACCAGGTCCAGATTTACTGCAGACAACTTCCTTGTTTGTTGATAGACCAGGAGCCAGCCGAATCCAAAAAGCAGGAACCAGTTATCATAAATCCAATTAAATATGCGTCCTTAAAATCCACAAATGGCAGCAGAGATAGACACATCATCAAGTCGATGAGATATCCAGCTGCATGCATGTCAACAGGGCAAATTGGCTCGCCTAAAGCCTGTTTCTCTTCAAAGAAATGTTATCAATTGTGTTGAGGGATCAACTGATGAAATCAAGTCTGTAATTATGGTTCGGAAGAAATGCAAGTGAGGCTCGGAAGCAGTTTCACAGACAGACAGAGCAGCAAAGCAAAGCGGAGAGGGAGGGAAGGGGAAAAGCGTCCAGCCTTGGCAAGAGCAAGTGGTGAATTGAAGCCAGTGTCTGATTTGGAGGAATTTAAAATGTTTTTTTGTTTTTTTTTTGTGGTATATTGAACTTGGAATATAATTGTGGAAAATTAAACAATATGGTGTTAATATAAAGGTCATCAATCGTTTTAATTCCTTTGTTAGCCCACTTCTTTAAAGTGTCATCCGCAACAGGGTATGGGATGTTGGGATTATTCCATTGGGGAGTCTTTCTCAGCAGTGAGATATCTAATCCCAGCAAAGCATGAGATTCAATTGAATTCAATTCAGTTCAAAAATACTTTATTAATCCCAAAGGGAAATTATTTGTTGTTGTAACTCGTTATCCTCATTCCATTACGATATGTTATAGATACTGATGGCTGTAGGTAAGAAGGATCTCTTGTAAAGGTCCAACCCACAGTGGATCCTAAGAAACTGGCTGCAGATGCCGTCTGATCCGTCCACCCAGACTCGGCTTGCCTCTCGGTTCCCCCGGGCTGTAGGACCACCTGAATGCTGGGCAGAACTCCTGCCATGCCTCAAAGGTGTTCAAGATTATAGGACTTTTTGTAGTTAAGGAAATACTTTTCTTTGTCCCCAAGAATGGAATGCTACTTAGTGGACTTGCCTTCAATAGATACTGTTCTATAGAAAGCCATCCAATATTGCAACTCTCAGAATGTAACCAAATCCATATTGGACTAAACTGAGATGCTAAATAATAGCAATTGTCATTTGGAAGGTTCAGACCCCCTTTGTTATAAGGAGCTTAGAGAGTACCAAGTTTTATTCTGTTTTTTTTTTATTTCACAATAAAAAGGAAGAAGTAATTGTGTTAATCTTATTTAAAAAAAGCTCTTAGGGACACCCCATGGAGTACAATGGAATAAATAAATAAGCTTAGGCAACACATTCATTTTAATTATATTTACTCTTCCAATTATGGATATGGAAGATCAATCCTAATTTGAGTGTCAGCCTTTATTTTTTCTAGAATATTTAAATAATTAACTTTAAATACTTTATCATGTTGTTTTCTACAAACCGGATTCCAAAAAAGTTGGGACACTAAACAAATTGTGAATAAAAACTGAATGCAATGATGTGGAGGTCCCAACATCTAATATTTTATTCAGAATAGAACACAAATCACAGATCAAAAGTTTAAACAGAGAATGTATCATTTTAAGGGAAATATCTGTTGTTTCCAAATTTCATGGCGTCAACAAATCACAAAAAAGTTGGGACAAGTCCATTTTTACCACCGTGTGAACCTGAACATAGTTCTCTGCATGAATGGTGCCTTTCCAGACATGCAAGCTGCCCATGCCACAAGCGCTCATGCAACCCCATACCATCAGTGACGCAGGCTTCTGAACGGAGCGTTGATAACAACTTGGGCTATCCTTGTCCTCTCTGGTCCGGATGACATGGCGTCCCAGTGTTCCATAAAGAACTTCAAATCGTGACTCATCTGACCACAGAACAGTCTTCCATTTTGCCACACTCCATTTTAAATGACCCCTGGCCCAGTGCAAACGTCTGAGCTTGTGGAGCTTGCTTAGAAATGGCTTCCTCTTTGCACTGTAGAGTTTCAGCTGGCAACGGCGGATGGCACGGTGGATTGTGTTCACTGACTTCTGGAAGTATTCTTGAGCCCATTCTGTTATTTCCTTGACAGTGGCATTCCTGTTTGAGGTGCAGTGACGTTTAAGGGCCCGGAGATCACGAGCATCCGGTAGAGTTTTACGGCCTTGACCCTTATGCACAGCGATTGTTCCAGATCCTCTGAATCTTTTAATGATGTTATGCACGGTTGATGATGATAACTTAAAAGTCTTTGCTAATTTACACTGGGTAACACCATTCTGGCATTGCTGCACTATCTTTCTGTGCAACAATGGTGGAACTGGTGATCCTCTTACCATCTTGGCTTCTGAGAGACACTGACACTCTGAGAAGCTCTTTTTATACCCATTCATGTTGTTAATTGACCTAATTAGTGTTAATTGGTCTTCCAGCTGTTCGTTATATGCTCAATTTCCTTTTTCCATCCACTTATTGCTACTTGACCCAACTTTTTTGGGATTTGTTGACACTGTGAAAATTTGAATCAACCTATTTTTCCTTTAAAATGTTACATTTACCCAGATTAAACTTTTGATCTGTCATTTATGTTATATTACGAATAAAATATTGACATTTGCCATCTCCACATCATTGCATTCAGTTTTTATTCACAATTTGTTTATTGTCCCAACTTTTTTGGAATCTGGTTTGTAATATTTATGTCCAAGTATTTAAAACTGCCAGGACATACCCTTAGTGGTTCAACAAGTGTTCTGATGAGTGTTCTGATATCTATGACCTGTGTGTTTAGAGGCAAAACCTCACGCTTTGTTAAGTTTATTTTGTATCCTGATGCTGCACTATATCTTGGAGACATTGGAAGAGTGGGGGAACTGAATCAGCTGGTTCAATTAAGTGGATCAGTATGTCATCCGCATAGAGCAACATTTTATGCTCGGAAGTACCGAATTTGACACCGGAGATGGAATTATTTGCTTGGATAGCAAGGGGTAATGGTTCAATAGCAAGCGAGAACAACAACGGGGAAATGCAGCAGCCCTGCCGGACTCCTCTAGAAAGCGAGAAGGTGCCAGAGAGGACCCCATTAGTTAATATTTGAGCTTTAGGGGCTTTAAAGAACGTTTTTATGTAGTGAATGAATCTTTCACCAAAATACATTCCTGAGAGCGTTTGAAATAGAAACGTAGGTTCATTCCTGTCGAACGCCCTCTCAGCATCCATAGAAATTATCAGTGTAGGCTCCTTTGTCATTTGTGCTGAGTCAATTATATGAAATAAGCGGCGAACATTATCGGAACCATATCTATTTCTTCTAAACCCTGTTTGATCAGGTTATATTATTTTTGGCATAATGCCATCATATCTAGTAGCAAGCAATTTTTTTCTTTGATCATACATGTTAAAGGTGACAGCAGTTTGTCTGAAAAAGTTTTAAAATATTCAATGGGGAAGCCATCTGGCCCCGGGGCCTTGTTAATTTACAAAGATTTCATAGCCTGCAAAACCTTCTTGTAAGGATGGCGCCATCTTGTGGGCCTTCTATGTCTGTGCACCCTTGTGTCATTAATCCTGATTGATTTCTCCTTCTGTTCTCAGCTGTTTGTGATCACGTCCTGTCTTGTCTGTGTATTTAAGCCTGTCAGTGAATCTTGTCTTTTGTCTCGTCATCGTTGGGTATTGCCTGTCCTATCCTGTCTAGTCTGATCCTGTCTGATCCAGTACTGACCCTATTCTGTAAGTTTGCTGCCATGTCAGCCTTTTGATTTATTATTATTAAAAGTATTTTATTTTATATGTCTGCCTCCTGAGTTTTGCCTGCTCAACTGGGTTCTTTCCTGTCCTGACCTGCCTGAAACCCTGACACTTCTCAGTTATATCAGCATCCAACCAGCTTTTATCGTCATCATTGATCTGGGGAAGAGGTATACCAGCCAAAAATCGTTCCGCTGAGATGTTACTAGTGTCGCATTCAGATTTGTACAGTGCTTCATAAAAGTTTTGAATTCCATGTTGATCTCGAATGGGTCAAAGATCTGCCATCTTCAG